TTTGAGAAATCTGACAAGACCACAAGTTCTTTTCTCATTCATGATCAGAGGGGTGTTTCATTATGTCTGATTTCATTTCTTGCAAGATCCTGGATTACATTTATGAAAATAGGCTGGTCCTGATTTCATTAAGTAATCCCTACACATAGAAGAAAGACCTCTGGCCGTAACAGTTTTTAAAAGTTGGTAATATCAGTTGTCCTTTTGTAACAGATCTAGTTGAATGACCACTTCCACTTCCAGAATGCCATTTAAACACTCTCCTTCTTTCAAATGCAGTTGTTTTTGTATGAATGGCCCCAAAATGCACATTATCAAGAATTTGAAAGGTTTTAGCAGAGAACAAAAACTATCATAGTTTTTCTACATCTCTTAGCTCTTAAGCCATATTTTTGTCGTGTTTTCACAAGGTTTTTCATTCTTCATATAAAACTACTTGTTCTATTTTTTTGCCGGTAGAAAATTTTCCTAAGTTTATCCCATGGTCACAATTCTGACAACAATTCAGCTAGAAAAGTAAAGTTAGTCCAAAGTTTCCATATAACTCCTGGCACTCATGAACAGCTCCTCCGGCCACCAGACATTAAAACATCACCCACTGTCTAACCACCAGACACCAGCTAAACTCACCGCCGAGCTGACCTCAGTTTACTGTTGGACCAAAGAACAGAAGAGACATAACCTGTAATTAGGGATTCACCGATATGAAAAATTCAGTCACTATCAATATTGCTGATATTAATATTGCTGTTAACACACAAATTATTTATACATACATTACACACTTGTGTCTTTTTTCAATACCGTAAAAAAACAACCAGAGTGCTGACATGGCTCTACTTCAGTTATCCCTGGCTACAGTGTGTCACTATCATGATCAAACAGATATCGCTCGACCAAACATCTCCCCTCCCAAACAGAAACACACACAGCAACAAGAGGTAAATCAATATCAGACCCTAGTATCTGCCCAGTTTTACTTATTGGACTGATATCGATGTTACTGCCGATATATCGTGCATCCCTACCCGTTATATTAATTTGTTAKATACATTTTTATTTAACTCAGTTTTGGGTAATTTTGATGTTTCTTCAAAGAGATTTGACAGTTTAGAGTAGTTATAACATTTATACATTTTTCCTTCTTTTGAAGGGGATGCTCTGAGCCTAAATAGTTAATACTTTTATTATTAATAATAATTCATATCCATCCATCCATCCATCCATCCATTTTCTTCCACCTATCCAAAGTCGGGTCG